ATAAGATTTGCTCCTTCTTGTCTGTTCCTTTTAGGCAAATTATCCTTGCATCCTCGTTGCAGATAAAAAATAATTAATGTTTATCCATTACTTTGACAAATAATTTTCGAAACTTACAAACATTACGCTGGTTAAAATAAAAATCTTAAGTTGAGAATAGGCTTTCCGGAACTGCAAACGAGATGCAAAAAAACCTGTTTAGCGAATTCCGTTTTAAAATTTAAATTAGCGAGAAGCCCATTTATACGGCATAGTTGTAAACTGAAATAAGTGCAGCTTTTAGATGATAAAATTATTTATTCTCCATTAAATTGCTTATTTCCTTTATAAATATTTCTTGATCGTAGTTTGTCTTTGACGACTTAGTCTTTGCCGACATGATTCATCAGATTAATTTTTCAATTCCCATTTGCTTGGACGCTTGGCTCGACAAAGGTTATTTTGTAAATAGTTTGTTCGGTCGTACTTTAAAATTACTGTAATAATTAGACGACTTCGGGCATTACAGTATAATTTGCCTGTTTGTATAAGTTGATTTTATCAAAGGGTTTTCTCTAATTCTATAATCTGAGGAATGGGTAAAATAAGCGCGGAGAACAAAAACAGACTAGGCAAAGAAAATACTCAAGAAAAAGAGCAGAGATAAATTGAATGAAAATAAGTTGAAATATTTAAAGATATGAAGAATATTGACGCTTTAAACGTTAAGGGATAAAATTTGGTATATTGGAAATAACAGAAAATAAGAGAAACCGAAGAGGCATATTTAAAACAACGGATACATTATTATGAACAGCAAGAGTAGCAAGGACCTAAACAGTTGGTCTGAGTATGAAAGATACTCCACAAAAAGGTGGGCATCATAGAGAGAAGAAATTATGTCAATAGAAATTATAATAAACCAGAAACATAGGGGAAATAGATAGCAAACAGCGAGCGAGGCACAAAATAAGCAATAATCATAATTGGCGGATGCAATGAGGGATTTTGAAGGCAAGACAAAATATATAGTGAGAAAAAAAAATGGTAAACGACCGAGAGGAAGTTCTTCGACGCGCTGGGTGGATCAAACCAAGGAAATCATTTGGACACAGTCTGCAGGGAGTTTTTCTTTCTGGAGAACCACGATCCGAGCAATTGAGCATGATGTCACCATTCTCTCCCGAGAGTAAACGGACAAGGGAGAGAAACAAATACAATTTTTAAACATAAGGAGAGCATAAATGTACTAGAAAAGAAAACAGTACATAGGGACTATAAAATGAGACAAGTAAACAGTATGGGCATATTTATAATAGATTATAATAGACTATCAGCAGCAAATTAAAATAGGAAAATTGTGATGAATAGACAAGTCAAGAAATTTTCTGAGATGAACAGAACGTAGAGTTATAGTACAATGGATAAAATAGTACAAATTAATAAATAAAGATGCTGCAAGAAAATATATTTTATCTCTCTAGAAAAATATGAATTAATATAAATAGTGTAAGAGAGATTTTTTGAAACGTTTGAAATATGGAAGTTGTGCATTCGGTTTATTTGTAATTCCTTATTTATGATTAAGCGACCAGAACAGCAAGCAAAACAGCCCTTGTTGGATCATCTGATAGGTATGTTTAAAAAGTTGACGTGTGAAAAATGCCAATAAAATTACTAACTGAGTTTACAATTAGATAATAAATCAGTTTCAGTTCAGTTTATTGTTATACTGTTACAAGTAGACATTTTTCTCAAGCAGTTTTTTTATTAGCCCTCAATAAACATTTGGACCTTTTACAAATAATTTTAATAGCTGGGTTAATATTTATTGAAAATTTGTACAAATACAATACAATGCCTTTTAAAACAGAAAACATATTTATTAAATAATCCAAATAAAACTGTGCTGTTTTGCAGCTCCAATATCAATATTTTCTCTCGCTAATAACCACTGTGGATATGATTTTAACGGTAGAGAATTCCTATCTTAAATGCGGGGAGAGTTTCTTATCGGTCAACTTTTCCACTGACAAACCAATAAACATACGCCTCCTCATTTTACAGATTTATTCCCTTATACTGTCATAAGAGGAGACCAAGTGAGCGGCGTAATTCTCATTTATTGCCGCGGGAGTGAAACATATATTTTACTACGGAGCAATATATTTCGAGTGCGAATAAATTTCAGTCGAATTGCCATTTAAGGAGCTGTTGCAAATCAATATTGCTGACCAACTAAGATGTGTGTCTAAGTCATCTTTAGCGCTTTGTGTATTTTAATTAAAGATGTAAGATTATATAATATGAGAGTATTCTTTCTACTACAAAGGAAAACATTTTAAAAGTTCGTGTTCATTTTACGAAATAATTCTTCTTATGAAAATTGAGTTTAAACACATTTTATCGATAACCATGTTCTTTATTAAAGTGACATATTTTTAAGAATTTCCAATGAAAAGTATCTATAGAAAATTATTTTTTTAAGTGATTATAAAAAAGTCTTACAACAGACAATAGGACATAACAATAGATCAAACTTTTTTTGCGCTTATGCAATCCATACCTATTTTCAGTAAAAAAATCAATTTTAAAACACATTTTTAACTCTATATACATACACGTGTGATAATAAATAAAATGTAGTAAATACATAAAATTACCTCTCTGCATCATTTTCAGCGTTAACACCAAAACACTCAGTTTTTCTCTTTTAAATGTTGTCAAGTGTTTTTCTGTCCAAGTGGAGAAAATAAATTTCAAACTCGCTTTTAAATGAGGAAAAAAGCGAAATGTCAGAAACAAATGCGAAAATGAAAAGGTGCTTGACAGTAATAAAGCACGATATTTCCCTGAAGAGAAGTTTGCGAACCGTAAAACGCGACTTGATCCTGAAACGGGTTTTGGCAGCAGGGGGATATCGCACGAACGCACGCGAGCTGAAGACTGAATGGAGAGCAACGGAGCCAAATAGTTGTAGCTCTAAAAGTGGAGCTTAAATGTGTGCTCCAGCAACACAGTCTCATTGTTTTAGCTACCGGCGACCCACTCGAAAAGAAAAACGGGAGAGACGTTGAAACATTAGCTATTGATGAGTGGGCTCAGGCTCATCTGAAGAACTGTTAGAAATTGTCTATAACCAAAAGTTGGCTCCCAAACGATTGAACAAACGAACTTTTTGTTTTGACCACGTTATTTATCATGATGCGCTTAAAGTTTCGGCCTAATTTGCCTTGTTTAGTTGCTTACTTAAACGAAATTGCAAGCAACGTGCAGGTGCAAAGTAAATACTCCTGACCACGTAATTTATCAGGCTTAACCAGCCTGGATCCACTTAGTTGCTGAGGGTGCAGAAATTGTAGCTTCTCGATGTATAGCCACTGATATTTAATATCTGCTCGTCTATATCAGTTTTTCAATAAGAAGCCACAGTCTAAGATATTAAATTAATTAGTAGACAATCACATGTCGGCAGTTTAATGGCAATATATCATGATTTTTAGTCAGTTTTTCGTTCATTGCAGCTTCACAAAACAAATTTTAATTGTAATTTTGTTATAAAAAAGAGGTTCGAAAATTGAATAGTTTCAATTAGAATTAGTCGGCTATAGCGATGAAAATTCGCATTTTTGGGGTTTTTATTAATCGAAAATGTCTCCTTTGTTTGTAGACACAAAACTTTGAAGGATTAATAAGTACATCAATATTTGGTTAGCAAAATATTTAGCTTTGACACTATTTCTTCAATTTAAGGTATTTTTAATCTCAAAAGTCTAACTTTTTTAAATGACACTCCCGTTATTGTTAGTGTGTTTTGGGCAGGATAAGGAAACCTTTCATTTTTGTGAAATAGTTTCTATACCTGTTCGAGTTCAAGTGAAAATTCGATTTTTCTAAATGGCTGCATTATATTAGATGGGTACTACCTCATTGTATCGCGGTAGTCCAACATTTATTAACAATAATAATATAATACAAATTTAATAAAATACTAAAAGAAATTTAACCATATTTATTGAAAAAGTATGCTTACTAGGCAAGACCCTAATTTTTTTCGGAAATTTTCTCGGAAGATATAAATATCTACTACAGATTCTAAAACATCTGCGCAAAAAAGCAAGTGGACTTTAAAAAAATCAATTTTTCACGTGTCAAAGAACCTCGAGTTTCCCATGGATTTTAAATGAGAAAAACGTGTTAACTTGTTTATCCTAATATTAGCTAATATTTTGGCTTACGTATTTTGAGTTGTTGATTCGAATGCTTCTATCAGTTTTTCTCCGAGTACCGTCAAAAATCCTCTGAAAACTCGAAAACCATTAAGAAACCTAAATCAATTGGCCTGTAACGTCCATAATCATTCAAATTTGTGGTAAATTATATATTATGAGCTTAGACCTACTGAATCCAGTGGTAAGCTATTTTTTTGTCTAGGTAGCGATAAAAAAATATGCGAGCAAACCCCGTCAAAAAAATTGAAAAATTGCTGAAAAAAAAACAGATTATTTTCTTGCACCTTTGAAGGTAAGAAATATACGGTACTTTTTTCACATTTACATAGGCTTTTATGAGCTGATTAATCAAATGGTGCCATCCGAAAATCCTCGAAAATCGAAAGAATGGAATTAAAATGATTTGCTTCTATTGTTCATTATTATCAATCCATCCTTTCCATCCTATAATTCCTAGAACTGGAGAACAATTACCTAATAATGTAACTTTTCATCCACCTGGCAAATTGCATCATACTAGATGGATGGCAAAAGCAATTTATTAATTGAAAATGTTTATTTTTCCGAAATAATATTTATCTGAAAACAATAGTGATGCAATAAAATGTAGATATGTATTCATTTTTATGATAGGAATTTACGCAATTGCTGCTCAATCACCAAATCAAGGTTTTAACTACTTGAAATGCTTGTATAATTAGAAACTTATTGACTAAAATATATCCGACTCGGCGGTTCAAAAATTCAGTTTTGAAAAACTGTTTTCGTGCTCCGTTTGCTGCTCAAACACCAAATCAAGATTTTAACTTCTTGAAATGCTTGTATAATTCTAAGCTTAATGGGCAAAGTATATCCGACTCTGCGGTTCAAAAATTCGGAAAACACTTATGGTTTGGACACTTTCTAACAGTGGCATTAGTATTTTTACATTAATATTTCTATAAAAAGAAAGGTCAAAATGTGCTAAGCTCTGCAGTCAAGTCCCAGGGCTTTGATGCACAGTAAATGAGTTTTAACTGCAGAAGGGGATGCGATTAATTTTGTCAATTCAAGTAGTAGTGACTTTATATGCAGCGATAGATGCAATATTTTCTGTGCTTCAAAATTAATCAAGATTGCTGGCAAAAAATCCATCAAAACTCATAAAAAAGAGAGACTCATGAACGGAAAGAGGGAGACTCACAGATCACATGGGTTAGAAACAGTTGAAAATGTCGAAGTAGCGAATGATGTATTCATGATAATTTTAAAACAAATAGTACCGGTTACGTTCAAACTAATCATACTCTATCATTAAAACACCCTGTATAGACATCATTGACGATACGTTAGATTTTTTCCTAATACATATTTTTTTTTTAAATTCAAAAACAGCATCAAAGCATTTCAGTAATTAAAAGCGCCTATAAGAAGATTTATGCGATCAATGATTCGTGATTACCTTATATTAAATAGAATTATTTCGTGATTTATTTAGAAATAAATGTTTTTCAAAATTATTTTGAAACTAATAAAGCAAGATGTTATTACCGTTTAGAGTAACAGAAAATAAACATGTGTGGGCTATTTCTCACTTAATTATATGTGGGTCATATACAGCTGCGTTATGACATTTTTATCTCAGATAAATTATTTGCCATAGAAAGGAGTTTTGATTAGGAGAGCTGTTGTTGAGGCTCGGCACTACTAGAAATAATGATGATTTTAGACGAAAATGTCACATAAATCGTCTCTCTATAAAACCTCAGCTTCGGTCGGTAATTCGCCGTGGAAAGAGCCTATTTGATCCAGCTGGCACTCTTGTTATGCGCGAATGTAGAATCTGAAATGATTCGACTGCTGGCGGCAATTAAGGACGCACAAATGCGCAATTTAATGAAAAAAAAGGGAACAATAACATTTAGTGCAAGAATATTCTAAAATTGAAGGCTGGTGAGGAATTTCATTAGAGTAGTGGGTTTATTAAATCTAGAGAAGAATCGGACTCGCTTCCATGATAATTAAACAATATTTTTCGCTCGACAAATCTTACTTTACGAAATCCACAAATGCCTGAAAACTGAGTTCGCGCTTTGTTTCCCATTTCAATTAATAAATATCCATTGTTATTCGGGAAGGTTCACGAACACAGCCACGGGAAAATCAAATATTGCATTTTATCTTTACTATAGATTCCGCTTATGCAACGGCAGTTTCACTTCAAGTTTCAACTATAAATTACTTCATAATTACTCTACTAGTAGGTAATTGCCAAAGGTAAACTTTTAATCCAAATGCGTATCTTAATGCTGCTTTTGACCTACAGAAGTTAACCCCCTATAAAAGGTCGGCGACTTTTTACTTTCTTGTGTCTGAGATTTACATTTTATGAAATTTAACAAAGTAGTGATTATGGAGTTGAGAGACTGGAAAACCTCAATTAACTAGTTATTCTTGTTTAAGCATAATTAAGCGTTACTCATCTTTTTAACAAACCAACAGCTTTGAATAGTACTTTGAGGGTTTTATTTAAATATAATATTGAAGCAATAGTCCATTTTGGGCAATGTTGACTGGAGCGAGGTGAGAAAACGTTAGATTATTTGTCTCTTAATCCATCTCTCCCATCATTTCAAGTATCGAAACATATTTAAAAAAATCCATACTAAATGTTTTAAAGCAACGGGTCCTTGACTAGTATTAATTGTATTTAAAAATAATTAAATTCTACCACAAACTTTCAATAAAAACCGAATTTCAGCGATACGACCATAAACTGTTTCAATTAAGCCAACCCTTAACGCAAAATTTATTGAATATTTTGTCATATACTTTAATACATAAAGGCAACTTTAAATAATTTGGTCTATGAATTAATTTTGTGCATTCAAACCTGCACTGTTTATGAAGATTAAATTGATGCCTAATAACTTTTTTTCGCAAATACTATTGTACAATGTTATAATTTTGATAAAATAATTTATAAAAGTTTATTCTTTCTTGTTTATAACCATGGAATAAAAATTTAAGCAATCAATTCTGCAAAGTCAATCATGAACCGTAAAACCAAACTTTCTCCTTAAAGAAATGGGTGAAATTTAGAACTCTTTCTAAGAGCTATTTCTGATGCCCTAAGTTAATTTTAGCTTTAGTTCTTAAATCTAAGAAACAAACAAATTTATAGTATAAAATGTTTATTATTATATAAAATGCACAACATAACAGAAAAAAAATAGATTTTTGCAGTTTTCTTGATTACATGCATATAGAAACAGTATTTCGTTCGCACAGTTTATTCGATTTTTTCAGATGACTACTCTCAAAAAATTCTTTATATATCTGCTTTAAGTCTGTCTAAAATAGCTCTCACTTGTTCCTGGAGACTTTACCACAACTGAATAGGGCAAGTATAATCGATTAGAACATTTGAAATCAATTTTAAAAGTCAAACATAATAACGCTTAAAAACTAATAAATCAAATTCAAGAAAGTTCAAATATAAAATTCTAAATAAAGTTCAAATTTAATAACCAGTTAAAATATGCTGTACCCTTGCTTGATAAGCAATATTTTCCAACATTATCAGATCCATCGTTGTCATTAAGTGTTTAGTTCAGTTTCCAATTTAGAAACGTTCCGTTTTCTACTTTTAGCAACATGTATCTTCATTCATTTTCAGTAAATGTATGTTTTAAAAGCAACTTTGAAATATT